GGTGGAGTGGAGCAGATACAAGGAAGGCACACTGCCCTGAACTGTGCTGGCCATCACTTCAGGCACATTCCTTTGTGAGAAGTAGGAAATGCTTAACTGTGTCTCCAGGGAGAGGAAATGAGTTTAGTGAGCCTTTTGCTAGCCTCTACCACACAAAGGTGATTGAAATCTAGTTATCACTAAAGAGAGTCAACAAAATGGATGACAGCCTTCTTTACAAATAACTTCATTGGAAGTTATTAATGAGTGGGTTATTTCTTAAAGCTATGAATTCCTCTTAATAGGCATCTAAAATATAGATAGTACACTGTTGTACAACTGAAAAATATTAACTTGGTAAAAGTTGTTTTACATATATATATATGTATATATAATTTTTTTAAACATTATAAAAACCCAAAAAAGTTTTGAAGCTAAGAGATTGCTACTTGAAAGATATAAGGTGGTAGTCCTTCTGCTTTATGAAAGAGGGTGAGAATAAATCAATTATTGTTCTTATCTAGTTCATGGTAATTCTAGCTTAAAGTTTGCGGACCAGATTTATATTCTTTCATGAAAGCCCACATTTGACTTTTCACTGTCAGTGTAAGAGATTGCTTTAAGAATTTATATATTCTCTAGAAATGGTTCTATTATGTTGATCTCAAATAAAATCATCCTTCAAAGAGGGGGAAAAATATACATGAGTTAGTAAAGTTTCAAGCACAACATTTCCCACAGCCTTCCTTGACTTGGCCCAGAAAGCAGGCAACATGCACTTTTTGTGTCATGTGATCCTTCACTGTCATTATCTGTTGGCCCACGTCTCACTTGACTCGTCTCTCAGACGGCAGAGACCATGTACAATTCATCTAGAAAACACTCATTAATGAATAAATGATTGAATGAATTGGTAAACAGTAGTAAAATTTCAACGTAAGTAAAAGGAGATAAAGCTGGCTTTCAGTTCATTAAAATTTTGATTTAGATAACTTTCTTTAAAAGTATGTTTTTCTCTTCAGAATACATGATGATTTGAACTGGCTGCTCACAAAATTGTCTGGTACAGGTCTGTTTTAAGGAACATGTAGTCATGTCTATTAGCATCAAGTAGTTTAAGAATTATGGAGCAAAGACTTAAGTTGTTTTTATAAATTGATTAAATATGCATTTCAGTTTGAATGGTTTGAATTTCATGTTAATGGAGACTAAGGAAGACATTAATTTGATGGATATTTGTAGTATTTATTATTTTAGTCTTCTAGTTATTGATCAAATCAATAGTTTCTACTCAGAAGACAGTAATAAATACAGAAATAAATCTATAAGTGTACAATTTGGAGAAAGGCTAGGAAGACAAAGCAGGAAGTGCTATTTTATTGGGGATTTAAGAATGTCCTTCAGAATATACTGTATTATGATTTAAGAGGAGAGGCAAACCCTCTCAGAACATTTGAAGGCTCTAAAGGTGGCGAACTAGATATGTGGGAGAAGCCAGAAGTAAGCCAAGTGGACCTGGTTGAAGGAAGAGGAAGAAAGTGAGTTGCTAGATACTAGTCAGGTCTCAAAGGTTTCATAGATCATGTTAAGGCATCGGGGCTCAGCTTTAATCTGTTAATACACATGATTGAAGCAGGGAAGAAAAAAAAGAACTTAACTGTTTCAGATAGCAGTTTATTACCTGAGATTACTTCTCTAAAACATCTCTGGAACAAGATATATAGATACCAAATATACTTATATAAATACAATAAATGGGATTTTAAGCTTTACATAAAACTACATTTATGACAACAATTTTAAAAAATCTGAAACAATTGGTTACATCTGATAAAGGGAAGGAGAGAGAACATGTAGATTGATAGAAATGGGGGTGCCAGATTTAAATGTGTATGGGGAAAGGAGTTAAATCTTAATCTTGCCTTTTTAATCAGAATAATTTCCCAAATAATTAGGTATCAAAGTAATACCATTGTTGTTAGTTGCTGCTGAGTTGGCTCTAACTCTCGGGTGACCCTTTGCTTTTTGCCTGACCTTGTGCCATCATCTTGATTGTTGGTATATTTGCGTCCATTGCTTTGGCCAATCTCTAAATCCATTTTATTGAAGAGTTCCCTGATTTTTGCTGGCCTGTTATTTTACCAAACATGATGTCTTTTCCTAGCAATTGGTCTTTGCTGCTGATGGGTCCAAATAAGTAAACCAGAGTCTCCCTATCCTTGCATCTAAGAAGCATTTCTGGTTGTAATTCTTCTTGGAAGTGTACAGTATGTTTAATATTATTCATCATCACCACAGTTTGAGCACTTTAATTCTTCTCATCCTTTTCCTTTATTCAACTTTCACATGCAGATGAAGCAGTTTAAAAGGTATGGCTTGAGGTATCACTTTACTAAGATGTGCATAGCCTAATCATCTTACCTAAGAAAAGTAGGTGACTCTTTATGTAGTATTGCTGTAAGGAAGGTCATTCTAACCATGACTACAAAGTCACAAGCAGGAGGAAAGATTGATAGATTTGAATACATCGTCCTACATTTATCTAAACTTCTGCATTTTCCCCAAACACTTAAAAAATATAAACCAGAAGAAAATAGTATAGATAATAGACACATGATGACAATTTTTTACATAAATAATTGTTACAGTCAGTAAAAAGTGGACACGTCCCCCCAAAAGAAGATGGTCTAGGACCAAACCCCAAACCAAACTCACCACCATGAAGTCTATTACAACTCATAGCAACACTATAGGACAAAGTAGAATTATCCCCATGGGTTTCCGAGGCTGTGAATCTTCACAGGAGAAGAAAACCTCATCTCTTCCGTGCTGAGCAGCTAGTGGATTTGAACTATCACCCATGTGATTAGTAGCCTACGTAATCCATATTGCCACCAGGGCTTCTATGGTCTAGGGCAGAGGTAGGAAAACTATGCCTCTGGAATACATCAAGGTTTTGTAAATTGAGTTTTATGATGACCTAGACATACTTATTTGCTTATCTCTTGCCCCGATAGCTGACTTTGTACTACAGTGGCACAGCGGAATAGTTGTGATATCAAAATATACGATTTTTACTGAAAAACTTTTCTGATCTATGATATAGTGGACTTTTGGGTAATCTCTTTCCTTTGGGATGACTTTGAATGGCCCTGAAGGTGAAAGGCTAGTTGACCTCTTGAGGTTTCTCATTCATTCCCATCCCATTTTATCTTAAACTCATCTTGGGCCAAGCCATTAAATGTGAGTGCCTGTAGGCGTCTGCTCTCTCATGCATTTCATTCCCAGCAGGGCCGTTCTCTTAGCTACGTCTTTGTGTTGTCCCTTGCACAATAATTTCTCCCGTGGTAAACAAATCTCTAAACCAGAAAAACAGACTCAGTCATGCCATGGAGTCTGTTCAAACTCACAGTAACCTGACAGGACAGAGCAGAACTGCTCCTGTGTGTTGCTGAGGCTGTGACTCTTATTAGGAAGAGTAGAAAGCCTCGTCTTTCTCATGCAGAGAGGCTGGTGGTTTCAAACAGCTGACCTTGTGGTTAACAGCCCTGTCTGTAGCCCACTATACCACTAGGGCTCCTCTAGGAATCTTCAGAGTTTCCAAGAAACATTCTTTTTACTGTTCCCATTATCAATATTTGACTCTATAGTCAGCAGGTTTTCTGTGCTTGCACTGGATTGTTGACTTTTACTAGGGAAATCCATACAACCAAGCAATTGGTGGTACAGCTGCATTCATAGCCTCTCATCTCTGCTCTCATGTCTGTTCTGAAATTCTACATGCTACCTCAAGCAGCTTTCTCTCTAGTTACCTCTGTGCCTGGCCAACCTAAGTTTTTTTTCTCTTGCACCACAGTCTTATTCCATCACTCCTTTCCAGCGCTCTGAAAATGAACTTGCCTTCTACTTCACAGAGAAAGTAGGAGCTATCATGCAGTAAATGCTCTACTTGCCATTTTCTTTTTTTAGATAAAGATCACTTTATTGGGGACTCTTACAGCTCTTATGACAATCCATACATCAGTTGTATCAAGCATATTTGTACATATCTTGCCATCCTTATTTTCTGGACATTTACTTTCTATTAAATCCTTGGCATCAGCTCCTCTTCCCCCCTCCTCCATCCCTCCCACCCTCATGACCCCTTTATAAATTGTTATTTTCATGTCTTACACTGACCACTGTCTCCCTTCCCCCATGTTGTTCGTCCCACTTGGGGTGTGGGGTGTGGGTGTGGTCATGTGTTGATCATCCAATCAGTTCCCCCTTTCTCCCCTCCTTCCCCCACCATTTTCTTACCAACACTCCTGCCCATGACATCTCTGCCCATCCTCACGCTTAACCTCAGGAAGCGAATAGTCCCTGGGTGCTGGAATCCAGTGCCCCCTCTTTCCTGTTTATTTTCAGTGTTCTGCTTCTGCATTATTTTCTGTCCTATAGTTTATAAACTAGTTCAACTCTGTTGTTTTGAGAGAAGGCGAGAAAGAACGAGAAAAAGAAGGAGAACAAAAAGGAAGGAAGGGAGGAGGGAGAGAGAGACAAGAGAAAGAAATCTCTCTGGATTCCATGCTCCTCAGCAGTCCTCCTCACTTCTCCTTTCCTTTCCATCCACCTTTTATTGTTATAAAAATGTAGAGGACACTCTGTTAAAGTTACATTCACCAGGTTATTCAAGCATCACCAATTTCATTGCCAAAATTTCAATCCCCATAAACAAAAACTCAGTGGTGCCTACACAATGATTTTTCCCTTACCTTTCCTTCCTGACTCTGGTTACTAATGTTAAACTCGAAACTCTATACTTTGTCTATGCTAAGCGTTGTGTATTAGTGAAGTGGCTGAATTGGTGGAAGGGACCCAGGTGAGCATAAGGGTGCTAAAGGGCACACCACACTCAGCCTTTGAGTGGAGTGCCTAAGGAGGAATGGAAGCCCCATCAGTGGTCAGGACCCAGGCGTGGGAGGCCTGTACCCATGGAATGAAGGTCCCTTATCCATAGTCGTGTCTAAAGCCACAGGAGAATGGAATATTCAGTGCCATTGCCAGAAAGAGTGATTCGGGGCTTTGTTATTTTCTTAAACTCCTATTTTGGCTCCATACTATATGTTTTATGGGCTTTTATTCTTGAGCCTTGGCTAAACACTCCTTAGGCTTAGCTTCAAAAATATTGAGCAGTCCCTTTACCTCGCTCCTTCTTACTGTACTACCTGCCATCAGGTTGATTCAGATTCAGAATAACCCATTCAGATTCAGAATAATCCCAACCTTGCAGTTGACAATCCAACGCACCTAACCCACAGCACCACGGGACTTCTTCCTTATGGGAATGGGTTATTTATTCTTATTTTGCGTTAACGTGATAAGCACCTCTCAATTCTGTTCCATTCACACAATCACAGTTAACTATGCTAAAAAACAACAAGCCAATGAAATATCAAGAATAAGTTATCTCAGCATTAGAGATACTTGTATTAGCAAAGTAAACCATATGTTCTTTCTGGTAGCCAAAGAACTTTATAACAAAAATTGGAATGTATGTACATGTACTTCTATTTGTTTATGTTTAGGTGTCATCTGTTCTTCAGTATGTACTTCATGCTCTCTCCACTTTCAGCAAGCAAGGGTGTGTCATATGCATATTGCAGGTTGTTGAGTTAATGAGCCTTCTTTCAATCCTGATGCCACACATTTCTTCATATAGTCCAGTTTCTCAGATTATTTGCTCAGCATAGAGAGTGAATAAGTATGGTGGAAAGATACAACTCTGATGCACACTTTTCCTAATTTTACACCACACAAGGTCCCCTTATTCTTGTTGAGCAACTGTCTTCCTGGTTTATATACAGACCCTGCATGAACACAATTAAGTTTTCTGGAATTCTCATTGTTTACAATCTTATCCAAAATTTAAAAAAATCTAAATAGTTGAATGCTCACTAAAACACAGGTAAACATATTTCTAGTATTTTTTGTTATCACCTAGTCTTTCTGATGTTAAAAGTAATATCCAGTGTTCCACGTCCTCTTATGAATCTGGTTTTGAATTTCTGGAAGTTTCCTGTTGATGAAATATTACAAACATTTTTTTGTCTTTAAGAAATTATACATGTAGAGGAGCCCTGGTGGCAGAGCAGTTGCACATTGGGCTGCTAACTGCAAGGTCAGCAGTTCAAAACCACCAGGCAGCTGCATGGGAGAAAGACGGGACTTTCTACTCTTGTAAAGAGTTACAGCAGTGGTTCCCAACCTTCGTAATGCTGCTACCCTTTAATACAGCTCCTCACATTGTGGTGACCCTCCAACCGTAAAATTATAAAAAAAGAAAGAAATTATACTCATGTGTGATACTGGTTTTTATCATTTGATAAATTCTAAATTCTGTTGGATCACCTTTCTTTGGAGTGGGCACAAATATAGATGTCTTTCAGTTGGTTGTCCAGGTAGCTTCCAGATTGCATGGACTACATAAGTGGATGCTTCTGGTGTTGCATCTGCTTGCTGAAACACCTCAGTTGATATTCTGTCAATTCCTGGAGATTTGTTTTTCACCTTTAGTGCAGGTTTGACTTCTTGCAAGTACAGCCAGTTCTTAATCATTCTACCTCCTGAAATAGTTGAACATCGACCAATTATTTTCGGTACAGTAACTGTGTTTCCTTGTACCTTACCCTGATATTTTCTGTATTGTTTGATATTTTACCCGTAGAATTCTTCGGTATTTTAACGTGATACTTGAATTTTTTTCAACTAAAGAAATATGAGTATGTTCTCTCTTGACTCTCTTAACTATAGGCTAGTTAGAGTTAGCACAATTCCTTAGTTTACTCTCCTTTGTCTTCTTGCATCTTCTTTTGATATATTCGGTTAAGCCCTTTTACTTTATCTTCCCGTCACTTTAGCTACACTATATTAAAGAGAAAGGTTCACTGTTTCTTTTTTTTTTTTTTTTTTTTTTTTTGCGGGTAGGTACATCACTTTATTGCACATGCTAGATGATAAGTTTCTTGACACAGGTATAGTTGCCATTTCCCTGCACCATAATATCATAACAATCATATTATACAACCAATATATACACATTCATAGTGTAACTGTGGATTCTGGCTGAGAAGATCTCTATAGGACAGAGTAGAACAGTCCCACAAAGTTCCCAAGGCTGTAAATCTTTATGGCAGCAGACTGAGGAGCAACTGATGGGCTCGAACCATTCACTTTTCTTTTTTTTTTTTTTTTTTAACATTTTATTAGGGGCTCATACAACTGTTATCCCAATCCATACACACATCAATTGTGTAAAGCGCATTTGTACATCGTTTCTCAAAACATTTTCTCTCCATTTAAACCCCCGACATTAGGTCCTCATTTTTCCCCTCCCTCCCCGCTCCCCCCTCCCGCAGGTTCACTGTTTCTTATGATACCTATTTTGATCTTTTTGTTCTTCTTTGTCTTTTAAAAGAGCTTTTACTTTCTTTGATGCCATTCTATAAATTATCTGACTCTTTTGTCATTAGTGTTTAATGCATCAAATTTCTTCTTGAGCTGGTCTCTAAATTTAGTCAGGATTTACTAAAGGCCATATTTTGACTCTCCTGGAATTGTTTTGATATTTTTCTCAGCTTCCATTTGAATTTGTGGGTGAACAATTGATTATCTGTTCCACAGTCAACCCCTGGCCCGATTCTGACTGATATTGATCATTTCCATTATCTCTTTGAATATTTTTAACCTGATTTTGTTCTTTTTCATTTCATCCAGTGAGATCCTTGTATGTAGTTGCCATTTGTGTTGAAAAAGGTATTTGCAGTAAAGTTATTGGCTTTACAAAAGTCTATCATGTGATCTCTAGTATAATTTTTATCACTAAGTTATATTTTTCATCTTCCAATCCTGCATCTTTGTTTCCAACTTAAGCATTCTCATCATCAGTAATTATTAATGTATCTTGATTTCATGGTAGGTTAGTTTCAGACTGCAGTAGTTTGTAGAAATCTGTAAATTCTCTATCTTTGGCATTACTGATGCCAAAGTACATAAATTTGAATAATAGTTGTAATAACTGGTCTTCCTTGTAGGCATGTGAATATACTCTAACAGTTTTGTACATCAGAATAGCTACTGACATGATCTTTTTGATGACGACTATAACACAGTTACTCTTCTTTTTGTCATGCTAGCCTAGTTGACCACATGACTGTCTGGCTCAAAATGGCCAATACTAGTCCATTTCAGCACAGTAACGCCTAGGATATTGATCTTTATGTAACTTCCTGTTACTTTGTGCCATGCCATTCCACACCACACCACACCACACCACACTATAATATTCCATGAATTGTCTGGCTGTCCAATTCAGTGTTGAGCTTTTTGCGGAACAGGATCACTATTTCATCTTGGTTTCTCTAGTGTCTACTGTGTTAACTATATTTAGTAAGCATCTGAGAGAATGCAGTAAGGTGTGTTAGGCTGGGTTGTCTAGTGAAACAAAGCAGTGACTCTCATCTATGTACAAGAAATAACTTACATCAAGAAGGTTCCCTAGGCCAGTCCAATTCAGGTCCAGAGGTTCACAGCCAGAGCCCTCTTCAAATTCATGTAGCTGCAGGCCAATGCTGCAGAAAGACAAGTGGGAAGCAGGGAGATCACAGGCTGGTGCGTGCAGAATTACATGGATGCAAGATTGGTGGAGATATAGCAGGGGAGCCACCTGACATGGAGGTCTGCAGAGTTCAGCAGGACTGAAGAAGGAAGGGCAAGAGAGAGGAAGGAAGCTCCCACTTCCTCTTCTGTAAAAGACCATAGCTCCAGGAAGGCATCATCAGACTCTGACCTGATTGACAGGTTGGACTCCACTCTTACAATTTCATACAAATTCAAGTTGACATAAAATCTAACTACTGCTTTTGGAAAAAAATGAGAGCAAGAAAATGAGAAACTTACTTTGAGTCTAGGATTTCCCAATAGAAATCTTAAAATAATAGGTCACTTGACCTTTGGATTGAACTGAGTCTGGGAAAATGACTGGATGATGAAATGCCAAAAATGTTACCTATTGGTAAAACATGACATAATCATGAAGCCTGTTGAAACGGATTCATTTCTTTCAGATAGCCATATTAAAGCTGTAGGACCCTGATGAGCTGTGATGGCATAGTGGGTTATGAATTGAACTGCCAACAAAAAGGTTAGCAGTACAAGTCCACCAGCCACTCCAAGGGAGAAGGAGGCCTTTTGCTCCTGTAAACTCACAGACACCTCTACACTGTCCTATAAGTTTCAGATGGCTTAATGGCAGTAAGTTTGGATGCCATAGAGCATTTTTTCAAAGCATGAAGTTTAGAAGTAAATGTTAAATATTTGTACGTTTAGTTCTTAGCTCACTTTTGTTTGGTACTTGGTGGCACTGAGAACACTTCGTGTATGAAGTATTTTGGGTGTAACTTGTTCAGGTAGCAAGTGTTCTTAGAACATTTATGTAGGAACATCAATCCTTGAGCAATTCATAGAACAAAGTATAAAAATAAGCAAAGAAAAAGAACACCACCCGTTGCATTGTATTATAAGGTGGAAAAGGTATGACTTCAGGACAGATTTCAATTAATAAAGTGACCATCAGAAACCTTGAAGAAAATACATGCGCGCTGAACTCATTCTAGCTTTTCTTGATGGCAGTATTTCAAAGACAATTAAAGCTTTGGAAATTTGAAACTGATGAACATTAGAATAGTTTCTGTACAACTAGAAGCATGCTATATATATATAAAACTTCTAGTTGACTGGTATATGAATTTAATTCCATAAAGTTGCTCAAAAATTTCCCACTAACCAGCCCCAAATAAATAAGTACATATGAATTTAAAACTCCACAATTATATTTCATATTTTGTAAACTTCTTTGTTCACTTAAAATGAATACCTTTTATGTCATCAAGTTTAAATCTATAAGATTATGAATGTTTATAATTAATACATTGTATTTTCCCTGATTCATTTCTCCCTCATATTGCAAAGTATCATTTAAAATTGTACTGTCAATATATTTTGGTGTACTGCCTTCTATTCTTATCCCAACACTTGCATATTGAAACATAGTTGTAATTATTTATTACTTTTTAGCATCGTAGATATCAAGCAGCCTCCAAATAATTTTCCATATGCTTATATAAATATGGTAACGGTTATTTATTATTTTATTCTCTATGTGTAATGCATTAATTACCTATTTCCCTATATTTGACCGTTTAGATGATTTAGAATTTTCTACTGTTAAAAAATTGATGTAATGTTTAACGTTATGCATTTTGCTTTTTGTGTGTTTGTGGTGGGGGAGGTCTGACTTACATAGGATAAATTTTAGAAAGTCTCCATGTCTTTTAAAAAATCAAGTAGTTTATTTTTAACAGTTTCTTCAACATACAAGTCATGTATCATAATTTCAGTAGTTCACTTAGGGTTGTGCAACTATCACCACAATCAATTCTAGGACATTTCTTTTTCCTTGTGTTTACTGCTAGCTCCCCATTTCTTGCCCACCGCTCTGCCATGCCCCTTTGAAACTAGTATTCCAGTTTTTGTCTCTAGAGATTTATGAAACAGAGAAATACCTCAATTGAAAAACAAAACAAAATATTGAAAACTGGAACAAACTATATATTGGATCAAGAGGGAGATCACATGTCAAGATGTCACATTTTGACCTAACTACAACTGCAGTAACATCCTACAATGTACTCTGTCTGATAACAAGGCCTTTCCTATTGCTAGTCCAAAGTCAAAGGGAATTCATCAGAGGCTTAGACCACACAGGGAACCCTGCAACACTGTTATCCATAGCCTTCTGCAAACTGGGTGTTCAGAATTTAACCTCTAATACCATTTCCTCCTCCCATTCTGGATATTACTTACAATTCTTGGAAAGCATAGGCTGATGTGCTTATTCCATGTGGACTTAGCTGATGCGTCATTCAGATGGCTGCTGTTTTAAGACAAGCCTTTAAGACCTATTCTTTCTGCTAGCTGGCCACCATCTGGTTTCTTCACCACCCTTTGCTGTAGTACCCATATCTCAGAGTCTCCCACATCTTTTGAACTTAAACACAAACAACTTCAGAACAAAACAAATTGCTTTCATATAATTCCCTTTTAATATATTTCAGAAGCTTCCGCATAAGGAAATTCTATCATTTTTATGTGACTACTTTTTTGTTTTTAACCTTTTTAAATTGTGAATTAGGTGGGGGATATATTTCAGATAGTCAGTTTAGTATTTAGCAGTTTATACTACTTATCAAGTCCCCAAATGATGGTATTTCTTTTTTAGTTTTCCTACAATGTTTGCTGATAGTTCTGATAGTTTGTTGGAATATACATTTCATCTGCTGTATTGATTTGAGAATGTGAAGACGGACAGGAATTTTATGAAAAGATAGCTGAAAGCCAGCTGCACCCTCACAGTGCTTTAATTCAAAATTCCCAGACAGGGACACAGCACCCATTTTAGTTTTGGCAACCTCATATTTCTACTACCTAGACACTTGAAATAACTATTTGCATTGAGATATATCATCACTGTGCTTTTCTGGGTACATGCTGAGTAGCTTTCTTTTAAGCCAAAAATGTGAACTTAAAAAAAAAAAAGCATTAGTATATCACTTCTTGATTGAATCGGAAAATACTCTGGAGGAAGATCCTGGAGTTCTTAGCATCCCCGAAATGTACTTCATCCTTTATATAAGCCAGCACATGGGTCACTGGAGTCAACCAGCCGGAGGGTTTTATTTTTCTGAAATGACCAGCCACCTGAAGCTTATTATTAACTGTCTTTAGAATGTGAACATCGTGCTGTGTAAGGACTAGTTAGATGATGGGACCTCAAGAGGTCTACAATCCAGTTTGTTCTAAAGATCTACTTGTGCTGCCCCTTCCCTGTACTCTCGTCGGTGCTATAATCTGGGCATGAAAATTGTGGTGGCCTTGTCACTAATATTTTAAAAGATCAC